ATAGAAAAGCATGGGTAGAGAGACACTTGATGATGACAAATATTAATACTTGAAAGCATACACCATTAAGGCTGAAATCAAAACTGAAAGGAACTGAATTCCATTTACCTGCTCAGCCTTTAACCATAATCGAGTTAATCTTCCCAGATTTTTTCGACAAACCGTCTTATCGACAGTTGCACCTCTTCTAATACGTTCACGGTTGTAGTGAGCAACATTTGTCCACCAATCTGCTTTGGATTTCACATAACGGAGAATCATATTCTCAATCGGCACTGGAAGTCCGGGAACCTGAAATTGACTAGAAGAATGATGCAAGCAAGAAAGAACAAGCATACATGCATGCTAAAGATCAAAAAGTTCTTTTACCTTCCATGGAATGTTGGCTTTCCAACAGCGCCACGCTTCACTGAGATGTTGTAAAATAGTCCTTGCCTTATTTTGCTTAATGCCCTCTGCATAATACATATTTACTAGTTTATTATCTCACAAAATATATTATGGGAACTATCCAAACAGAGAAAAAGAGGTCATAATTTTGTTAGAAAATAACATTTAGGAGCTGATACAAAATGTGCCAACTAACAAATGTGATGCATAGTACAATTGTGGTCAAAAGAATCAAGATGTAGTTCATGGACTTACCAGGCATTGCATCAAGAATATCATGCATCACGGCAGCCCGAAGCTCCAAATCGAAGTGGCTTTCAACTCGTTGCTTTGTAACAGTCTTTGCAACTCCTTTAGAATGACGACCTTCAAACTGGCGTGCAAGTAAATTACCCAACCATCTTTCTAACAATGGTACAATACCACGAAGGAAGAACAGCCACACCCTCCACATGGGAGCCCAAAACCCACAGCCAGGTCCCTTCCCAACGGGACCAGTATTAAAACGGTAATAAATCAAGTGCTTCAAGTCTTTACACATTCTGATCTGCCGCATCAGACGGTACTTATAACGGTACATACCAGTCAGCTGGCCAACATGAGAGAATATATACTGAAGACCATCAGCTAATTGAAAAGCATCGACATTTCCCAGGCGGAACTGAACATTAGCATCAACAACTAGCTTTGTCAAACGGAGAATCTCCCGACACAAATGAAAAGCATTTCCAAAACGTGACTTTTTACGCTCCTTAGTGGTGAGCGTTTTCACAGGTTTCAAATTGAAGTTATAATCAAGGTGAAGATAATTAAGATTTTTACGATGAATCAACAGGTTCAGCATATTGTAACCTTGCTTACAAACTTGTAATCCTGCTTCAACCCAATCTAACTCTGTCGTTTGGAAGAATTTAGTTGCCTGCAAAGACCGGAACAAGTGCTTCTTCTTCTGAGCTTTGGGAGGTCGATGATGCAATTCATTCAATACATAGCATTTCAATAGCTTCTGATAACTGACACGAACTTTGACTGGGTATGATGGAGGACTGTGAACAATAGAAGCAGCATCATTAGACAAGAAGCAAATCAAGTTGAACAAAAAACAATCATAAAAGGGAACAAACACAGCAAATTCAGCAGAAGACCAACATACCAATGCTCCTTGTACCATTCCGACACAAGAGCTATATCTTCAGCTCGTCTCGTTCGACCAGACCTCGTATTAAATGGGCGTGGTGCAAACAACAATGAGACTCCAGCCGCTGTCGTATCAGTATACAACTGGGTCTCATGTAGAAGAGGTTCAACTCCATCTGGAAGGTAAAAGTCATCCTCATCATCTCCTTCATGTACTCTCCTCTCTCGACGGTCAACCTTGTTAATCGAAGAAATTGGGTTTATCAAGGGATCAAAATAAAATGCAGGCAAATCAGGATCCTCGGCTTTTATGTACATTATCATGGGAGTGTGGTACACACTAAGCTTCACTTTCCTTGGCCTATTGTTGTACAGATGAGGAAATGCTATCCTGTATTCTGTTCTTAATGGCTGACGAATGATAAGCTTATTGATGTCATTAAATTCATTCCAATCTTCGTCTCCTTTTTCCATGTCACGGTACAATGGCTCAAACTTGGGACCTCCTGCGATGACCGAACTGAGCTAAGATTTCAATTTATAGGAGAAAGAACAATGAAGAAATTACAGTTCACGCATGCATCCATATGTAAAAGCTTTATACCTAAACAAGTGAGTGCAGGTAATTACATAATCATATGACAAATTTAAATGATACAGCATAACAATCAAAGCGACTTCTCGACAAATGACAAATTGATATGTCAAGGCAGGCAATATCATCATCTATAAATGCAAAGAAAATAATAGAAAGAAAAATATACCGGGTATGCACATGTTCAATGCTTTAGCAGTAAAGAATGACTCCATATCGAACAAGTAAAAATAATTGCGATCAATTAGATCAGAAAGTAGTTGTCCTGCAAGCCGATGAAGATTTGCCATAATCGGAAGTGAAAGGTGCCACCTTCTGTAACTAGGACCATTTATAAGCTTTGTTTTAACAAGAGGTTTATGATCATAGAACCATGTATATACAGCAGCATCTTCTTCCTCATCTAGTTCTAACTGAATAGCCTCCAAGGGTTCCACATCTAATAAATTGTCAGCATAGTCTAGTGGAGGCTCTTCATCATCAAAAGGTGGAAACCGCATTCTTTTGAAATGCCTTCGGTCTCTTTTTTCCCTTCGCATCATGATCCACATTGTACCCCACTACAAAGGCACATGAAATAAGATAATTTAGAGGAGTGGACTTTACCAATGAATGAATCATGATATGATACCAAAACAACTTTTTGTAACATCAAAAACATCTTTATCTTATTTGTCTACTTAGATTAACTGAATGGGACCACACACACATACACACACACATAGTAAGCTCCAAAGCTAGCCTAGAAATTTTTAGCTCTCTATAACGGAAGCTATTCTGCAGAAACATATCTTGCAGATCAATGCTACATACCTGTGCTAAGTATATAGGTTCAGCCACCCATGGGATCTCATTCACAAACGTGATTGCACCAGTTATATGATACAAGATCCTCACATTACGAACCTAGATCCAAAAAAGATTCTGTTAGAAGATCAAGGAGAAATAATTACCTAAATTTAAAAAGATAAGACAAGATGTACAAGTACCTGCTCCCATGGCATGGGCATGTTCTCAAGCAACTTGTAAACTGCATGAGGAACAAACTTCAAAGCTCCAAGGTACACACGTTTGTCATGGCGATATTTCTTTGAGGACATGTCTCCATGGTCTCTGTAACGAGTGGGAGAGCAGCAAAACGTTCATTGAATTGATACTAGCTCTCATCCATTGACCGAAAACCAGTTTACTTATGAAGGCTAACTTATGATGCAAATAATAATTAAAACTAGTTCAAGTCTCCAAGAGAACAGCACAAATTAAACCCAAACGTCAACTCCATGTCTATGTTTACCAGACAACTATAAAGGCAAGAATATAGTGCAAATGAAATTTTAAATGTTAAAATGTCATCCAAGATAAATTTTATAATATAGAAATGAAGGTTTGGAAACTTCCCTAGCAACGAATCCAACATATGCAACAAATCAAAGTAGATTTTATCCGAGACTTCTTATTTTAACAGTTCATGATCAATATAAACATCCATAAATAAGACACATATGTGCTCAAAAGGTGTGAAGTATATGTATTTATAATCAAAGAAAACTTATTCTTTAAACTCGCATGCATATATCTTGTGTCGCAGCATAACTTATCCATTGAATAAAAAATTTAGCGTACCAAACGAATATAACCTACTGTACACTTCTATAGCTATTAACAATCTAGTAGATGAAATTGGATACTGTATGTATCCAAAAATTTCTTAAAATAGAAAATTACATGTAAAGGTCGGTGGGGAAAAGGAACCTAACTACAATTTCTGGTACGATTGCAGAACTATCTCCTAGATTTCACTACTTTAAATCAGCAAATGACTATCGTGCTAAAAATTGGTACCAATTTCTATAGATCTAAAAGCATTCTAAGCTTTTTTCACTACAGTCTAGTGAACAAAATCCCCAAATTTTCACATGTTCGGTGAAACCCTAAACCTTCCCAACGGAATCAGAAGCAATAGCACTAGAGATAAAGAAAAGAAGGGAGCACCTGATAATCTTTCTGACGTGTTCCGGAGGCATATCCTCCTTCTGGGTCTCGACAAACCCGAACTTCCTCTTGTCCCCATATCTCTTGGAGTTAAGCTGGTGCCACTTCCTGGCCTTCTCCACCAGCTGCGCCTCTAACTCCGCGGGAGAAGGCGGGATGCTGTACGACGGCTGCACCGCCGGCGGCGGGGGCGGGGGCATCCCGGCCCCTGGCACCGTTCCTGGCGGCGCCATCGGGACTGCAGACGAGGACGACGACGACGACGAAGCGCCACCGTTCCACATCTCTAACTCTACCACTGAGTCAAAATCGCCGGACGAAGGGGTACAAGACCGCTACTTCCTCGTCCTAGGGTTTGGGTCGCGGAGTGAGTGAGGGGAGAAGGATTTGATGACGGACGGTAAAAGGCGAACGAGTTGCGGGATTTTTATAAGAGTTCGGATCGGGTATGGTGTCCAAATGGCTGTGGCGGTGCGACACCGACTCGGGCGAGTCGAGGACGATTTCTTCTTGGTTTTCCTGACTCGGCTACGTGTGAATATACCACTGAAGTACCTGAAATGGGGCCCGCCTTACGCTTCTCGTATTCCTTGGAAACAACACGGCCCGTAAGCGCTCAGGGGTGATTCAGTCAAACCAAGAACGTTGCGTGGTTCTTGCAGTCCATTACGTGGAGGAGTGACGGGGTGATCTTTGAAATCCGTGTTCCCCTGTGATCGTAGCATCTTATGCTCCATCAACCTCTCGTCTTGTTGCCCAAGAAGTTTTGAACACGAATGTTGATGGGGAGTTTGATTGGATCATACGGCTTTAACTGTTCAAACCCGAAACAGTAGTCCCCGTAAAAAAGGAAAAAAAATTAAAATAATGACTCATATATAAACTATTTAACAATGATCTAAAGATTAGAGCGTAAGTTTTGATACAAACGATAAACTTTGACGACTTGGAAAAACCAAATTAGATTCAAAGGCCACATTAACAGCCTCTCCAAATAAAGATTGTTTACATTCATCCTCCCCGATCCCGCTAATGAGGGACACCATAATGTAATGTCCTCTCCCTTGAGATCATTTTGGGATTCCACACATCATGCATTTGGCTGTATCACATTTGACTATCTAAGCTGATGCCTCACAAAGTCGATGCTTCTTTTAGGTACAGTAAAAATGATTATGATAAGTCCACATATCACTGGAAATTCTCATCAATACATAATCTGAAAAGGATTAATGTATGTAACTACAAACGTGTACAACTGATGACAGTACATCGATCTTTTCTTTCTATCAGAATACATCTGGATTGCAGCGTCCCATAATGGAGTTACATTGCTGAGCCTCTTTCAGATGAACCGAGAGAGCATAGTTTTTGAACTGCCAATGAACACATCATACAGGAAATTCATTAGGGCATTGTAAAAGGCGTGATAAAACGAAGGTAAACAAAAGATCTGAATACCTCAAGAGTCTTTAACTGCTCTTGATACTGTGATACAAGATGCCTCAGATGCTGCAGCTCCTGGCTTTTCTCATTGTAATCTTTCTGGCGACCATGCTGGATTGCCACTGCATGCTTCAGAATAGTATTCTCCTTAAGCAGCACCTCCAACTGATTTTTCAGGTTAGTGTTTTCCTGTTCCATGTCCAGACAGTATCGAAAAAAAGAAACATATCAATCTTACTACTACTTACTACTACGACATACATGCGGAGAAAGACATTACTGGAAACTTCTAACATGAATGTTCTGCAATAGTTCCACCACGACATGGCATTTACCAAAACCACACAAAAATGAGAAACAAAAGACCAACATTACTAGAGACATAAATGTGAATGTGCCAAAAAAAATTTACTGCTAAATTGCTGGCACAAGTCCTTTACCAGCAGACTCAAAACTAATTTACTACTACCGCCTAACATCCCTCATTATATGGTCATAATTTCTAAACCCATAAATACCTTGTGGAAGCTTTGCAGCGCTTCAGTTGTAGCATGAGCCATTATCCACTTCTCCACACTCTCCAGTACTCTGGACGCACGACACCTTGCATCATCCATATCAGTTGCACTCATCATCTCTCTCACAAACAGCTCAACCCATTCAGATCCATCTTTTGGGAGAACATCTGCCGCAGATAGACCTGAAGCAACTTGATCCACACCATTTGTGTTGATCACACCTGTCAAATATCCAAATACGTCAGGTGAAAAGAATAAACCTTCCACGTCTCAGAGGTGCACATTTCGGTGAACATGAAGTGCTAATCATAAATTTAGTCCACCTAGACAATTCCAGAAAGTTAAAAAAAGACCGAAGGAAATTCCAGAAATTTTAAACCCTTAATAACAGGTTACTGGCTAGGAGACTAAAAGAATCTGCTTATTTCATGTAGCCTTCAGATAAATCAGTGTGTAATATACAGAGATAACTTGAAAACTACCAAAGATATTAAGCAAAGAGATACATGGTTTATATAGAGCTTATTACTTCCCAGGTAAAGTCAAGATTAGCTGATTACAAAGATAAAAAGACACGACATATACTGCCTAGGAATACTAACTGTAGCGAAGAATTAAAATCAAATATGTTACTTAATTAATCATGAATTATGTGAACTTGATGTCATACTTGTAAACGAAAAGACAAACACAGAACCTCTTAAACTAATTTTATAAGTCAAATAATCACATCTGCTAACTTAGAACACCCTCGTTTATCCATGAACAAGACACAGAAAAAATGACATTTAGTTACAAATGGTTTCCACATGAAAGCATCACATACGGATGTTCATCCTTAAAATCACATTTCTGATGAAACTAGTTGCTGGACTAACTACTTAGAGGTTCAAAGGTAGAAAGCATCATGAAGCATACCATCTTGATGACTACAAACAATGTGTTGCAAAGAACATCAAATATATACAAAGCAGTAAGCATATTAAGGACTGAGTATCTCCTTACAACATTATAACACATTCACAAGCTTAGTTCCTTCATGGAATCAGGAAAACAAATAGAATTTTGCTTTCCCAAAATAAAAGAAAAGAATTTGACTAAAATTACACAAATTTTTCTAAGCATCAAATATCATGGATGGTAACCTGAAAAAAATTAGAAATTTGCTTTCCCAACAAAAAGAAAATAATTTGCCTAAAATTACACAAATTTATTCTCAGCATCAAATATCATGGATGGTAACCTGAGCCTGCTTATCCTGATCGAGGTTCCAATAAATATCATCAAATTTATTCTAACTTCTAAGTATCAATTATCATGGATGATAGCCTGAATGAACCCTGTTTAACCTGATCAAGGTTCCAACAGACACAATCATGGCTATGAAAAAAATAAAAATAGATTCTAAGTTTGCCATTTGCCGCATAAAACTGCAGTTAAAATCATACAAATCACAATCACGTATCCAAAACATAGCCGAAGGTTTTATTGAAATAAATTTCAAAAGGTTCGACATGTAGAAGAGATAGTTAAACAGTATATGATCTCTACGAATAAAAATGGCAAAACAATTGCAAATTGGACTATATGACTAACAAAGTTTCTTACTATGTGTATATAATGTGACACCAAAGCAAAGAGTACATTTAAGGAAAAGATGAAAAAAATAATCTAATATTATAACCCCAGCAACAGTTTCTGGTAAAAAAGATATTAATAATTAAAAAACAAGTAAAACTCATAATTAGAGTTTTGCATGGTAAGATTAACACTATTAACACAAATTCTCATAAAAGGCTAATTGCAAATATCATTGTGGTATTGTGTGCACAGAGTAATACATACACAAACTATTGCCTTGTGCTGACCACCAAACAAAACACAGCCATAAGTACCAGCTTGTGAGTGACTATCACCAATTTAAGCAATAAACAGACATAAATAAAGAAAAGAAAAATAAACAGACGATAAACATTACAAATTTAAGAGGACCCATACTGCTATAACTTGATCAAATAAAGACAATAAAAGAAAAGAATCAATATGTTTCTTAAGTACTTGTCATTTGTAAACATTGAGAGCTATAGTAACGTGAACTTAAAAGAATACAAATCTTCTATTAACTTGCTAGAGTCCACTTAGAGAAAGAAAAACCTGTGTTAACATATAAAAAAATAAACAAATGAAATGCACTTAAGATACTACATAGAGAATAGAAGCTTAAAAGCATTGATATTGTGATGCATGTACACCTTCAGTTGAAGGCTGAACATTTGTCTCAACCCCAATTTCAGATTTGCTAACAGAAGAATCCAAGTTAAATTTTGTTGTTTCTAAATGGAGATCATTCAAGCTTTGTAAGGCAGAATCCAAGTCATTTCCTGATTCTTCAAGTGCCCGTTCAAGAAGCTGCAGAAAGTCATAACCATTTATCAGCTAACATATGCAACAATACGCCCCAGCTTACACAGTTTCATGACTTGCTCAAATAATCCTGAATTTAGTACAGTTAAAATCAATAGGAAATTATTGAAATATGCAAACATGCAACAGATTGAGACAACCACAAGCTGATTTCTGAATATCACATAGGATAGGTTCTTAACCAAGAATATAGTAAGGGTCGACAGACAGGGCTGTCACTCATATACCAATGTTCAATGATCATTTTCTGTAATAGAAATAGGGAACACAGAATTATAGGAAAGACAAAGCCTAACAGCATCCGAATATACTTCAAATTGGCCTTTTGAGGCTCCTTAGGTCAGCAACTAAATTCTAAAACCAAAACCTGCAGTTAAAAACCAAATCCACCGGGCGTCAGAAGAAACTTGAATCTCCAATTTCTCCAGAATCACTCAGACAAGTGCCAGCTAAGAACAATGATTCAGAGGTTGTCATCCTCACAGAGGCCACTGGCATAGGAATCTGGCACCCCGAAGCAAATGTGCACACACCTAATCACTGATCCGTTGACTGCTGATTATGTTTTAATTTAAAGAAAAAAATAAAGAATAAAAAAAAGGAAAACACAACCCAGGTCCAGAATCAAAGTCAACCTACTTTTCAGTTCTATAATTGGGTAAATTATTATCAATTAACTGTATACACTTTGCTGGACCTTGATGCCTTCAGAAGGTTCACGAATTCAGGACAGAAAACTATGCCAAAACCAGTACAGTTTTTCTAATAATGTATTAGCTGAGATAAATGAAATTCTACCGAATCAAACATACTATCCTGAGTTGGAGTGCTGAAAAGTTGACGACACATTGATTAAATCCAAGGTTGAGTATAACATGATTAAAAGCCCATCTTTCTACATGAATTCATAAAACCAATCCATCCTACACCAAGAACAGCAATATTTAGAGCGGGACAATAAAGAAGAAAGAGAATGGAGTGGCTTCGAACCTGATGGTCCATTTCCGGAAACAGAGACCGCAGATGAGCAAGATTAGCCGCAAACAGATTAGTACCATCGCCGCTGTTTTCACCGTTGTCCCGGTCGGCAAGGGGGGAGAGCCGTAGCGCGGCGGTAGGGAGGAAGGCACCGGAGGCGCAGCGGGCCCTCTTGGATGCCGGGGGAGGGGTGTGGAGGTGGAGATCCTCGAAGATGGAAGAAGACCTCTTCCCACAGACCACTACGGCAGGCATGGTGGCGTCTGAACCGTCTCGTAGTTGCAGTCCTCGGGGCTGAATCCTTCGCTGGTCGATACCTCTTCCAACCCTTCTCGGCCTCTAAGGATCGATCCTCGGCGAGGGAGACGAAGACCAAAGAGAGTGGGGTTTGGGGTTTTATAGGGGTCCTCGTCTCGATTTCGGAGGTGGGTTCCGAGTTGGGGACGCAAGCAAACATATGAGGCGACAAAATTAATGTTCCTTCCGTGGCAAGAATAAAAAGAACTTTCCCGGGTCGTTTATGGCCCCACATGCGGGGGACCCACACAACCTCTCTGTTGCTTCCTTATATATTGAGGCAGGTACCTAAGTTGGTAATGTCACTTGGATGCCTGTTGCTTGATAGGCAGGGGTAGTTTTGGAAGCGTACTGCGGGTGGGAAACCACATCCCGTAATCGCTTTGAAGACGGGCGGGATATCAAAGATAAATATAGTACAACTTAACTAGAAAAAACATTACTAATTAGTTTTTATCGGGTGATCCTTTACTGAGAAATTATGAAGAGGATTTTTTTTCATTAATAAACAACTACATCCTTCTCTTTTTAGTTTTATTACATGGTTTTTTTTATGAATTTGAATGTGAAATTTAAAATAAATTGAATCAAATTGGTTCGATTTTTTTTTTTTGGGACAACAAAGAAAAGAGTAGAAAAATATAAGAAGAGAGAAGGAAAGGAGATAAAAAGACAAAAGGAAAAATGGGATTGAATCGGTTTACTAACCCGATCGATCCAAGCTGATTTAGTGAATCGGTTCAGAGAATAGACTTATAAAATTGGACTTTATTCTAAAAGAACACCTCCTGATAATTTCTATAAAGGAAAGTCATCCAATAAAAATCAATTATAAAAGACTTTTCTAAGGTAAAATACCAATAAATAAATATACATGCATTGAACCCAATTTTAGGGGCATATATTTATATATAAATCAATTTTATAAAATGTACATGTTGTTAATCTCCGACTACAAGAGAAAAGACATTAAAACTCCTAAAAAATATTAATATCTCATTGAAAATACGTTTCAAAATAGTTGCATGAGAGTTACAAAGGGACTCTAAACATTATAAATTATTAACATTTTTAACTCCAGATAGCTAACAAAGTTTTGATGGATATTAACCGAAGGGATACATGCTCAAATATGCTAATACAAACTTGGCATGGAAAGATATATAGCATCTACTATGATCAAAATATGATATATTATCTAAATAACTACATCTGGACAATGAATAATGATAAGGTAAACATAAACATACTGTAGGTTTTCCTTTTGAATTACTGGAATTTGCTTCTTGACAAGCCTTTGTAGTTCCCTGATGCATATTTGAATATAAGCTATGATGAATAACATGTTTAAGGATTAAGAAAACTAGAAAACTTTCAATAGTGGACATCTTGGGTTCCAGGGAACTAACCATCAAAAACTTCCCAGAGGCTACGAGTTGGCTTCAAACCAAGTCATAGTACCCAAAATCCTGAAGAATTAGTCTCCTTACATTTCTAAACTAAGAAAAGCAACATAGGCTTTGTTGAACTGATTGCCAACAATGAGGAGATTAGGCACTAACTTGTCAAAAGCACTTTGCAGCTTGCTTGGGTTAGCAGCTTCAGAAGTTTTGAAACCTGAAGCAGATCAATTAAAATTTTCTTACTGATTGTGAAGGGAAGAACCATCACAAACCATTACTCACCAACTTTATAAATACTACACTGCAGCAGCAACTCCAGCTCATGTATTCGAGACGAAGAGAATTAAATCCTTGTACTTCCCTTTGATTGATATATATATCATGTGGTCAAAATATACAGCTCATTGGAACGTGAGTGAGGTCAATTAGAGTACACAGACAGAACAATTCAAGAGAAATGTGTACACCTTTGTTGTTTCATCTCTACAAGAAACGGTTAAGAACAGTGTTCCTTGAAGGAACTTCATGACTTTCTTCACTCTCTTCTGGTTTTATAACTGTGTTCAAGGCACATCTGATAGCTGAGTTTACCTGTTTCCTTAGTCTCACATTATCTATAAACATATCAGTCAGCATTTTTCTTATCTGATTGTCTGTGCTAATTGAGATATCACCATTTTCTGCAACCAGAGGTTGAGAAGATTCGCTGGTTCGAGCATCAACAACATTCAGAAGAGATTCTTCATCATCCCTTGCCAGAAGTTGAGCCTGGTCAGGAATGAAACACCAGTTGAGAGTAATACTACTCATATTAAATAGAACCAAATAGCATGGATCTAAACTAGAAAATATAACAGTTACATAGTGTAGTCAAATGATACCTCTGCAAGAAGTAGACCTATACGATCATCTGAAGTTGCAAGGAGATCTAAAGCATCATCAGGTGAAGAACTAATAGTGAATTTGTCATCCTCATCCATGAGAAAATTTACATTGCACTCTTGAAGCCGATCATGAAGAACTCTGCATTCATGAAGAAGTTTCTCGTTTGCTGATTTTGCATTGGACCATCTTTGCTTTTCTCTATGAAGAACTACCTGATTCAACAAAGAGCAAAAAAATAAAATATGAAAGATAAAATAGGCCAATCACAGAAATAAGCAAAAATGGCTTCTCCAGATCTTAGGCTTCTTATATTACTTGTTATTTGTCTGGCTTTAGAAATGAAATTAAGAACAATTATTAATATCAAACTAGATAAAAACATGGGAGATACATAAAAGTGATTATAAATACTAAGGTCACAATAGAAAACATCAAGCAAGAAACAAAAATGAGATTAGTCTTGGGCAGTTGGTAGAAGCACAATACAGTAGTGAAGGAAAATAAGAAACACAGGTAACCTGATAATTTACAATGTCTGGAGAGCAGCCAAGTAAAAAATGCGACTAGGTGAGACTTATTATTATCCATGTAATCTCAGTATCTCAGTCTGATATGAGGGATTGTTGAATTCATCAACTAGTAAGGCAATACCAACTTATCCAGCAAGTGTCACAAATTTATCATGCAAGCAGATCAATTAATTTGAAGGCATTAAAGAGAAATACCTGGACCTAGGGAGTATTATGAGAGAAAGAAAAGTGAATGAGACCACAATAGTAACATTGCAAGCAACCAATGAAAAGATCATACTGCTCACCTCAGGCACTTAACAGACAAAGCCTACCAAGTTATGACATCTAAACAAATTGACAAGATAAAACTGGTGTGTTGGCTGGACAAAAGGCTGGACTATTGCAACATATTTTTGCCAAGAAAAAGCCTTATCTAGTGCCTCTAGGAGAAACTTGAGAAAAATCCCTGCCTAATCTACCACACATGGTAACTTATCCAACTGACCAATAATAACAAGCTTATTTAAGTTGAATAGGGCATTAGTAATAGTGAACATATTTAACTTGAATGGGACCCTGAGACTCTTGTGTACGTTTAGACAAAAAAAAGGAGCACCTACATAAATAAAAACAATATCAATAAAACGAGACAAGGTTATCTTCCATCTGCTTCCAAAGTAAAGGTGCTCGTATATAACACTTAACGAATCCTGCATCCTCTTACAATAGCAATGAAGAACCAACAGATGACGTAAAAAAGAAAAGGATCCATTAGCTAAAAGAAATTACTCTAATATGATGAACAGCCCCAAGTATCCTCAGAGAACAGCACAAGCATTCAACCGCATTCACTTTTAATTCTTACAATCAAAGAAAACTGCTTAACAAGATTAATTTGAAGGTGCAACCATAGGAAGGATGTACTGCAGAAAAACCACATGAAGATGCCAAATTTGATTGTGACCTTATGTTTTGCCTTAAATATTTGCTATATAAGAACTGCTTCATTCAGCGAATAATATAGTTTCAAGTTTCAACTAAGATGATTCAGTTACCTCTTATCATTTATTTTCATCCTTAGATGGGAAAGTATGATATAACTGGATACTCATGCCTAAAGCACAACACTACCCTTTATGAGTGTAATCTAACTTTGGTCCTGTCAATAGAATTTCAGCACACTACCTCTAGGTCAGTTTTCTCTTTTAAAGATTGATTCAGCACTTCCCTCAGCTCTGCTTGAGACTTCCTTAGAGACTTCACTTCTTTGACAAGGACCTTGATGTCAGCCTTTGATTTCATTTCAAGTTCTGCTAAGCATTTCTGCATATTCTGCAATTCTTCTTCTTTACAATGTACCTCCTGCAGTAACAGTTCTGTTTCATCACTAGCAGTCGTTTTCTCCGATTCTGCATGATTCTTTTCATTCTGCAATTAGTGAAACCATGCCAGAGGGATAAAACTCAAGTAATGGCATATTGTAAATGATAAAGTTAAGAGAAAGAATTGCACCTGTTCAGATGTAAGTTTTGCCTCCATTTCTGTACACTTCCTATGCAGTTCATCCATATCCCATTGCATTTGTGTGACTCTCTCTTTTTCGATTAAGATGGCTTGTTGCAAGTTTTCTGTACCTTTCTGTTCAGTAGCTTCTAGTTCTACCTCTAAATCCTTGACCTATATCCAAAAGTATCGATGATAGTGAAATGAATGCAGATGCTGATAAAGTGTCAACACAAGGACTTGGAGTTGGTGTTGTACAAATTTGAATAGTTAAGGAGATAAAAACAATATATTAAAAAGAATTTATATATACATAGTTAACTTAAGTAGTGCATGTGAATCCACATTACAAGGAAATGCACTGACAACCAATTTGATGTACTAATGACACAAGAACAGGTCAAAATTAACTTATGCTGCCAGAATCTAAAAGACAAGCAGATCCCAAGTAATGATTAGAGATGCACCTTTGTTGTAAGATATTCTTTAACAGCCATTTCTTGATTCAACCTTGCTATAAGATCCTCCATATCAGTTCTTGCTGTTACCAATCTTTGTTGCATATTGACAATAACTCTATTAAGTTTAAGCCTTTGATCAATTGGAAGAACAATTTGTGCCTTATTAAGAACTTGTGTATTCAGATGAGGAAGTGCATCCATGATATTTGGAATTTCAGCGCCATCAGGAACATCGAGGGATACCTCCCAAATTGAATTGGTGACCCCAGCAGCTGATACTTCACTGCCTCTTATGGAACTGCTATCACTCCCAATGCTTTCAGCAGAGAGCTTTCGAGAATGACCATAAAGTTTATCATGGTTCTGATCTGATATGGACTCTATTCTGTCTCTGGATGAACTTCCACCAATCGTTTGTCTCTCTAGAGCATGGTACTCTTGCCCGTGGTTCAACTTACTCATAATGAAATCTTCTGGATGTTCCAGGGATGATTCACCCATGAGATCATCACCGATAGCTATTGTAGAAGACACTAGATCATGAACAAGTGCTAGAGGTTCAGTGCTGGCTTCAGAAACTTGGGTCTTCCCTTTTTTCGGAGTTCCAAGTTCTGAGATTTCATCTATATTCTCACTACAGATATCTGATGCAACAGTGTGAGATATAGATGGAACTGCCGAATAATCAGCGACGGAAGCACTTAAAAGGGGTCTAGCTGGAACTGAGGGGGCCACAGCAGTAGCATTAGCTGGTGAACTTGGTTCTTCAAGTTGACAATTCTCATTCTGAAATGCTGAATAGGAAAATGAGTGAGCAGAAAGTAAGTTTATATCAAGGAGGTGAATTAGCTTAGCTAACAAAACCTACAGAGAATCAAAAGCCATCTAGCATAACATGCTATCTAGTAAGCAAACGAAAAAAAGAACAACCATATTAGAAAAGCATGTTCATTAAAGAGAACCAACAAACGTGGAGGTGTAAAACCTACATAACCTTGCAGCAGTTTCTAGCTCAAGAAAACCTGCCGCAGGTGCACTTCTAGAGAGGTCAATATCAGAGAGTAGCTTTCCCATCCATTCCTCTAAAGCCTGTCTTCTCTGCAAGAAAATTATCCGGTTTAAGAATCATAAATAACCTAGAAGAAAAAGTAATTTCAGAAAAGAAAAGATGAGGCAAAGATACTGTCCAGCAAGGAGCAAATTTCACCGTTTTACATTATCCTATATGCAAATCCTTTCTTTGATTTATTATGGTCATTGTAAAGACTAACTTACTAAACACTAAAAAAGATTAATAAATCATTATGACAGTGAGAATATTTATCTTCTATATTTTTACTAAGCATCCTAGTTATTTTGTGAAAGACACATACCTCAAACTGATTGTCGAATCCATATTAGATACCTGTCAAAAACAATGATGTAGGATTCTCCCCGGATATGTCAAATACTTGCTCAAAATAAGTATTTGGCATATACTTCTTGTGAAAAAATATATATTTCATAAAAGTTACACTTTTGATTTTAGATGAGAAGAATATATAATAAGATATGCAGCTCTCTCATTTGTATTAAACATATAAGCATAACTCATTCATTCAATAATGATCTTGATTTATCAAAGGTTTGTCATCTCTATATTCTTGAAGCAAAGTGTCACTAGAATTTTTTTCTTAATAATTATGTTAGGCATGCTAGTAAATTACTTGTTATCTATGATGATATGTATATATGTATTAGATAATGATATGCATATACATATACAGATATACTAACACATAAATCAAACATCAAGCTTTATCATATTATACATCATTGTACAAAATATTGCTGTGTTGCCATATACATATTGTATCTTGTATTGCTTATACAAGATTTTACCTATTGGCAAATATCTAATAAACCTATTGGCTTCTGAACCTATAAGTGTGCTTCAAGCTAGCTATGGTGAAAGTGAAACAACCAATAAATATAGCATATCCAAAAATGTTCTAAGTAATATATCATGACATTCAGTAATTATTCAACATTGTTAAAGAATAAAGGATCTGACATATCATTCAGATCACTTCCTATAATGCAAATCCAAAAAGGAGGAAAAACAAACAGGTAAGTGTCCAAACAACCACTTGAACAAGCAAGGGATTAGCATGGATCAGGTCTTTTTTGTATTGTCAGGTTTTATTACCTAAACTGACAATCACCTTACTTCTAAGCATCAAGGCACCACATCAACGAGCTCCAGATATCCTATGTCATCAAGTATGCATGCCTCAAACAGCAACAGTTTCCATTTTACAGTTTAGAAAGGTTGAAGAAAAAAATATAATTAGATAAATAGATGGAGTAAATAAAACTGATCAATGCCTCTGACAAACATTGTGGCATATTATGTTCAATGCATGAAAGTTGGGCTTATTGCACGTAAGTGACTAAAACTGATCAAATTATCAGACAACAATCTTAATGCATGTAGATAACTAGAACTGATCAAATCCTCTAACATACATTTTATTACTTGTGTTGTGCCTTAACATTGTGATATAACTCAATGAATACAATGATTTCTAGCCTGGTATTTAAAAAAGTAGGATATGTTTGTCTGCAAAATTCAAGGAAGAGATACAACATGCTTGTTGACATGTTCAGTCCATGTACCAGCATAATAATGCCATCAACTACAAAAGTGGATCTGAATGAAGTTGTGATATATGAACTGTCCAGATTTGACAACTAAAGCAGAATCCAGCATAGGAAAAAGAAATCATTGGATCAAAATTTATACCTCTTCTAGGAGCATCCGGCTTGAATTTATTCTCAAAAAAGCATGCTTTGGAGGGGCAGAGGGAATATCTTTTCTGGGAAATGTCTTCTTAAGCTACAAAAGAAGATGTGTATAGAGAAGTGACCAACTAAACCTCAATCCAAGAGCAGAAAATACCTAATATTGAGCTTTCAACATAAAACAGCATATGAAATAGGTTATCACACGGACATGTCACATGATTTTCATTCTCACAAGAGGAAACAACAGCAAAATTTTTACATTGATGATATAATTTTGAACAAGAAGTATATCACCCACAGGCATCAATATACACAGACTGCACACCAGATACATGAAGTGATAATAGTCAGAGTTAAAGTCATTAATACACATTGAAAACATCTTTAATAAACTCATAACATAATGGTACAAAATTTCCAAAAGTGTAAAATCTAACTAACATCCAAACAAGGTTTCAAAATCTGGCCTGACTGGTCTGGGCCCTGGTACATGGAGCATGATGACACATGATACACTCTCATACCAGCCAGCATGGATGGAGGTGAGAGAGAAGAGCAGAGGAGGATGAGAATGAGAAAAGGAGCAGTGGAGGAGGAGGAGGAGGAGGAAGAGAGGATGGCTTTGCATACCATAGGAGAAGATGTGGTGGCAACAATACAAGGAGCAATACCAGCAATTGGATGAGGTAAATGCTGAGATGGTGGTGACATAGACAGAGGTTACAACCGAGCAAAGGAAGAAGACAGGAGGCAGAGGTTTCAGCAACAGTGTCCAACATCCTAATCTGTAGAGCATCATCCAACATCCTTCTCAGTCCAGAGTGTTTTTTATTTTCTTAATCTTTTCTACCATCTGTTGACAGCCAACAACTGTTAAGACTGTCAACAACTGTCTTTAGCTGTCCGGATTCAAATAATAATAATAATAAATTTGAAGTGGATCAGACAAAATCGTCATAGTCTGCATGCTCGTGCTAAGTTGGACCAGTAAATATCGAACAGTACACCAGTATTTAGAATCTTGCATCCAGGGTCATAGCAACACAAAGTTATGTCAGTAACACATAAGTTCTATTATATTTGAATTAACATTATAAAAATAACAAGTTGAAAGAATTTTGATTGAATAAAATGTTACAAGTCAATCCATTATATGGCAGTCAGCTTCCACAGCTGAAGCTGCAAATTACATATTCTGAATTGATCTGTGTTAATGTAATTTTCTAGCAACCTTTCCACAGGAGAAATGGCAATAATGTGAAAATGACGTGCAATTTCTCATAATATCAGAAACATGGTTGTTATAAGTGAGGTCTTTAGATGTATTTAATGGAAATTATCTAGCAACATGATACCTGATGTTTTCAATTACAATATCAGATTATGAGTGAACTTCTCTAAGCGCACCTTATCTATGTTTCAATGACACGATTGATCTAAATGTTAACTGCTCTTCAAAATAAGAACCTCCTAAGGTGGTATCATTTTTTTGCCCTCGTGAATATCCCTACCTTGCATCTCCTAATATCCCCTTGAATGGTGTTTCATAATTGATTTCCTCAACTTACTGTTCTGCAAACTCTATATCTTTGAAAAAGAAACTGGCAGTTTGTCTAACAAACAAAAAATAGAATAAAGCATACAGAATTGCATTTTATATTAGATGATTAAATCAAATTTATCGTACAGCAGAATATAACATCAAGAAGTCACTGAATCTTCTTAATAATCCATGGCTGGTGCTAACCCCTTCTGGAGATTGTATACCCACATGAATCCTGTAAAACTGCCATTAACTAACGTTAAAAGCAACTAGATTTTCAGTATCAAATAGTAAATGAAGAGGTTTTATCCACAAAATAATTATCAGAACATGGATCATGATTGTTCCACTGAGAACAAAAGTTGTCTTAAGTAAAAGTGCTAATAGAACCACACAGAAGTAAAAAATTTCTTACAAGATAGAACAAAAACTTTGACATTCAAACTACACAGCATATTCTTGCAGACTAGCACTACTTAAATCTTCAGAGTTGCACTTAATTAAGGACAGCTTGACTAATATGACATACAATAAGATAAAAGAAGAGAAGCAAATGGAAAAAGATAAGGTAGTTAGAATTTCCTATCAAGTTTACAGTTCTATAGGTATACACACATGAGTAGGTATCCCAACCTAGGCTAGCAAAAGCAAACTTGTCCTTCCCATATATTTAACACATCATATGAATTTCACTCTCAGTAATGAATACAACAAAAATTAGACATTAAATTCATCATCTTTTAATTTGTTTCCATAGGAAGAATTTCTTTTACTATTACTTCAAATCTGATTATTACATCTAGTCATCACCAACAAAAGTGCATTTGACATGGAGAGTTGAAGAGCAATGACAATGCATGGAAGATTATTACAACAATAGGATTTAAGAAGCTTTCTTGAGATGTTCCAGGTTCTGTCTGAACAACCCAAGAAGGAATCATGGCACAGTAACTCCAACCAGTTTGAGGATTGTGTGGCCATATAGTATTTCTTCCATCCTGCAAAGAAGTAAATGAACCAAATGATGATTGGGCATTTTAAAACAAATGCTAGTTATCCTAGAAGATCAGTAATATGAAAAAACAAGTTTACAAAATATGAACTTGCCTGAATACAATTCAGAAGACTTCTAGAGAGTTTCAGCTAAAATAATTATTTAAAATAAGGTACAAGGCACTTAGAAAAAGGTACTTACAAAGTGATACATTAAAAAAGATAGGAGGGAAATTATTAGACATTAAAGAAACTAAGTATCCTAAACATCAGGCAATAAGTGGCAAGTATGAAAAAAACAAAAGAACTATAAATGAGTTTCATAGAATAAAAAACTAAAGAAAGGCAATTTAGGCTGCTTGATGATACAATCTGATTCATCCAAGGAGCTTGAAAGCATGTGAGGTTTAAACCAAGGGAAAGCACTCTAATTAAAGGATTGAGCACATAACATTGTTCAAACTGAGAAAGAAAGATAATATGAACTTTCGAGCTCATAGTAAAGATAACAGCAAACTGATGAGATACAATGTTCTCTTTCACAACATCAGGATCATATCTATCCAGAAAATAATGCAAGATAAAGAAGCATGATACGCTTGGCATACTCATTCAAACTTCATGGTCTTATGAAGAAAAACATAATACAACAACAACATGCCATACTGTCCAAACTATCTGAAATCAAGTTGTATGAAAATATACATATAAACTTTGATGATCTCTTTGTTGCAAAGTCTTTTACCGGATCGAATATCCAATAAATTAATTTTAATGGCTAGATTGTAATATCATAATTACAGTAAGAGAAAAATAATGCTCTTAAGCAAAGTAAACAGGAAATTCCAACATAGAATGAATAAATGATAATATTCATTAATGAGAAACACTAGTAGTTGAGTTATGGACATCTTCAAAAATGCAGTGAAGTAAAATCAAGCATCCATGATAATTAGTAGCAGAAATTTCATCTCATGGGATCATCAATCATGAAGTGCATCCACAACGATGGAATGTCTTTAAATACCTTGCAAGCAAGTTAGATGGTCCAAAAGGTTAAGCTACTCCCCAAGGTTCGTTAGCTGAAAATGCTAGTGGGAAAGTGCTAACAAACATAAGTTAGGAAGCTTGGAGTAAGCAATAGGGAGATTGCTGAAGCAACACAAGTAATAAATGCAAGGAAAGCATACATATTAAAGCAGCAAAGAACATAATGTAGTTAATTGCTTGATCTCTTTGCATCTTTATGGCTTATGATAATAGGTTCATCACTGAGTAATTGTACCGATGATACTTTTAACTTTATTGAGCTCATAAGAACCAGAACATGTGAGACTGAAGATGCTTGGAGCATTTAACGGTGAAATTTTTGAAAAATAGAAATAAATGCATTCAAGAGGTCTCTAACTCTCAGTATACTTGGGTGGTTTGTGCTTAAAAGCAGATGGAGAGATCACGTAAGTCCAGAAAACTTCTATTCTCTTTATTGGTGAAGGCTTCCATTTCTTTTGTGCTGGTTTTTCTTTCTTTTTATACATTGTCATCCTGTTGTACTTGTTAAAGGTCACAATCCACATCTTTCCTAAGTCTAATACCTGTGCAGTTTCAATTATATTAATCGTTTTACTGCTTGCATGTTAGCTGACCGGTATGGACACAATTTAAGATGATAGTAAGCATCATAATTTTATCTAATTCCCCTCGGCAATGGCCTCCAGATTATTAACTAGAACAGTAACCAACTACGATGACTGTAGAAGGCAAATTAAAGAAAAATGATATATATGTCGCCTTCGTCCTTGATCTAGTAACGTTTATCATTAGCAAGCACGAAGCTCATGACAGTGTTCAAACTTTAAAATCAGTTTGCGATTTTAACTCAGAATCTAATCACATTTTCATCGTCTAACAAAATTCATCTAAGCTAAGAAAACCACCAAATTGAGTGTAGAATGGCATGATCCACGATTCAAACCCTAAATAAAACGAAAGGAACCCAAGAGATCGAAGATTTTAAGAAGAAAGCCTATCAGATAGGTCAGATTCGCTTTATCGGGCGCAAATTTACACAGGAAATCCCAGGATTTCAGCGCCGAAGGCATCTACTCATGAAGAAGATCCGAGGAGGTGGAGGGGGGCGTGCGTACCCAGCGCTTCGGGGGAGGGCTCCAGTCCATGCCGAGGGGCAACGGCGAGGTCCCATCGTGTCGGTGCTTCGGGGGGCTGTTGGCGGGCATCGCAGATCTCCCGCGGGAGATTGAAAGATCGAGGTTCAAGGCTAGTTAAGGAGATCGTATCGAGGAGGGGAGGAGAGGAGGGCGAGACGGGGCGATCGCGCAGTGGGTATCGCTGCTGCGTTTGGAAAGGCAACGCCACCAAACCGTCTTCGCTTCGGTCGTCTCTCCGGTGTTTCGTTTCTTTTCACCCGCACCGTAACTAATCGTCTTCAAAGCTTCAGCTAATTGAAAAATAATTAATGCTTTGGCTCGTGCAACGCACGTTAGGCGGCTTTTATATATGGACAAATTCTTTTTCATTATTTTCTGTAAAACATAACCTTTTGTTTTATTTCCGACGTCAAGCACGTTAAACACAACGCACGTACGTTAAGCCCTATCGACGTGGACCAATCACTCGACGAGGGGGCCACCGCTCCTTGCAATCGGATCGACATCACCTGCTTGGACAGTCAATATGGGATATATACCGAGTCAACATGGGATAGAAATGGGCGATAAAACGAACCATTCGGTCAACTCCTTCCTCCCAAACTCTGCTGTTGCTCCTTGCGCCACCTTCACTCACCTCGCCCTCTCCCAAAACCTCCTCGTCCGCCCACTTCTCGACACTCTCACTACTGTCATGCCATCACTTGCCCATCTCAACCTCATCGATAACATTTTTTTCGACCCCATCCCACCACCCTCCTCCAATCACTTCCAAGCCATCCAGGAGCTCTCGCTCGTCGCGAACCAACTCACCTCCACCGTCCTCACCTTCCTGGGCAACCTCATTACTCTGTCATCTCAACCTCTCCTACAACCTCGAGATTCTCAAGCTTATCGACTGCAATCTCTTTGGCGATATCGCGTCATCGTTCGATCGGGCTCTCAAAACTCACCAACCTCTCTAGTGTTGTCCAAATTGAGCTATATAATAACTCTGTGTCAAGTCTCATTTCGTCAAGCTTCGATAAGCTCAGCTCACTACTCTGCATCAACAAAGTTTTGATGGAACCGAGGGCGATGGTAGAGGGGGACAACAGGACTGACTGATAGAAGATAAGATTTTTCTAACTAAGAAAATCTCTCTACTATGTTGAGGTAAATTCTGAAGAAAATCCTCTCTCCTAATCTATATAAATATATAAATAGGAGAGGAATATGTTAATGTATTGAAGCTAAAGTTGCTTCAATAAAGTTTCTTTACTTCTTCAATAAAGTTTCTTCAATAATTATTTTTATCTTCTATTATTTTCATTACTGATAAGATAACAGGACGATGGAGGAGAAGGTTATAGTGGGGCGACCAAAGGTAATCTCATCTTTAGAAAAAAAATAATATTCTATAAAAAAAATCTTAAGAATTTTTTGAGAAATTTTGTTATATATATATATATATATATATATATATATATATATATATATATATATATATATATATATATATATATATATATATAACATCAAAAAAAAAATATATTTTTTTCAGAAATACATCCTAACGTCATAACGTTAAAATTATTTTTAAATTTAAATTTTTTTATAAATTAATTTTTTTATGATTATAATAACTAATTTATCGAAAAGATGTTTCTTGCAGCATTTTTTTCCACATACTTTTAGACTTCATTGATAGAGTTGTAAATGTTTTCGATTCATACATTCAATAATTAATATATTTACTTGGATAATTTCTTGAAACAAATATTTTTTAGTTTTTCTCGAAAGGTACTTTCTGTTTAAAATTTCCAACTGTGTTCTCACATAGTTTTCCTGCCCAAACACCCTATAAAATTTATAATTTTTTAATAGAGTTTATATTATTTTTGACATCTCCCCTAAAATATTGTGTCTATTAAAAACATTATAATTAAGTTAAATTGACTCAAAATCTAACCAAAACTAATATAGTTTCAGACAATTATCCTCATTGATTTAGGAGTAAGTATAAGCAAATAATAAGATTTTTTATATTAGTTACAGTGTTTTTAAATAGGTTTACGATATTTTTTATTTCTCTATGAAAACATTATAAACTTATTCAAAAATATCATACCTAATATATTCAAAATTATATACAAAAAATAAAGTTTGAAATAATTATTTTTGAATGGATTATTTAGTGCACATTCACGAAAACATTATAACTGAAGATATGGACTCAAAATCCAATATAAACTACCTCATAAAAAAAATTCTCAGATAATTCACACATGTAGGACGAGATTTTTCTCAAGATAATTAAATTATCATTGTAATATTTATTAGTGTTTTAATCAAGATTTTTATATCCTACTTTTTGCTTGAACGTATAATCCACACTAAGAAAAAATATGCAGTAAAAAAAAGTGAGTTCAGGAAATTAAATAAATAGTTGTTGTATTTATTTTATTTTCTTTTTCGAAGAAAAATATTCAAATTTACTTATTATTTTAGGATTATTATTTCCTAAACCATCCCATCACAGACCCCATTCTGCTTGCCACTTTGGGCCTCTGAATTCGACAGCGTTGCGCCGGCGATCACCAACAAATGGAGTATCTCGCGGCCGTGGCCGGCGACATCGAACCGACCGGTTTTCCACCGGTCCACCGGCATCCAGGTCTCGTAGAAGGCGGTCCCCGTCACTTACGACACGGCCACGCCACCTAGGAGAAGAAAGCATCATCCTTTCTTGTTCCTTTGATAAGGTTGCAACAGCTGGAACACCAGAGGGACGGGCTTGCATTAAGGCCTAAACATTGCAGGTCTGGTCAAAGTCAACCAGCGACTTGCGAAGACCAGATTAGGTTGGCTTCAATTCTGCATGGCAGCCATTAACAGAGGACTCAACTTTGCTTCTTGAGTTGACGCGTAGTTTGCCGCAAGCAAGAAGTCAAATGTCTTTCTTCATCAGCTCTCATTGTGTATGCCTGAAGTGAAAGGTATTTATTTCCGATCCTTGCTGACTTGTCTTTGATGTCAGCATGATCATCTAATTTAAAGAAACAGCTGCTTCTCTAATCTGGAATAGTAATAGAGGATGGATGAGACTCTCGGAGGATGAAGGTTTTAGATTATGTGCTCCTATGGAATTCTCATAATAATTTATTTTAGACCTTTTTATCTCGTCTATAAATAGATAGGATCTTTACGGACTAAAAAGAAACATCTTATAAACGATTCAATCGATGGATTATAGTATCTCTCAACCCTTTTCCTTAATCATCATCAATCTAAGTAGTATTATGAAATGATAGGAAGAGAAAAGAAAGATCTAGTTTCTCTTTGCAGATTGATATCTCAAATCCGACACATGTAAATCTGGTAAAATTTATTCTTCTGAACAATAATCAAAGATACATATCGATTTTATTTTCTTTTATATTTATTAGATCAAGAAAAATATTAAGCTCTTCCAAAACTTTCATTTCTAATCGCAAAGAAAGAAAGATGAAACTTTGAAATATTTATTTTGTCATTACCAATCATATCATCTATGTACAGAGAAGAACAATAACATACAAACTTTTTTTTTTAATAAATAAGTTAGGATCTAATAAAAAAATAATAATCATAAAAATATGAGTATTAAGTAATTTTTTTCTATTATGCTCGCATAAAATCAATAAAAACACTAGATAAAAAAAAAAAAAAAAAAAAAAAAAAACTCAATCGCTTGTGAAGGTGTAATTTTCTCAAGAACAACTGTCTCAGTTCTAATCAATCCGCGAAGTGAAGAAGAAGTCTTCTCACCGACAACTAACAGTTAATCTAATGGATCATTATTATCTTCTTGGCCGTGGTAATCATCTTAAAGTAAAGCCAGAATAAGATGCCATCATTGCACGGTGGCAATAATGCCTTGTAACTCTCACACGTATCAGTCGATGACTTGGGACCATTGTGCCGCTCCCAGAGATATTTTGGGCATGATCGAAGGAGATAATTAAAGACAAGTTCTTTAATAGCTGGGCAATCGTGTCATGAAGTTTATCGAGAATCATTTTAATCACATATTTGTCGAAGAGTTTATATCTCCGAAAAATATATTTCGAGCTCCATTCATCTCCAAAGAACAACATCATCAAATATATTTTTCTAAGTCGGTAAACTAAATTACAAAATCAAAATTATATATTTTTAAATAATATTTTTCGAAGGTATTAATAATATTTTGAATTGTCACTAACTTTGGAGAAATAATTACATGATTTTACATATATATATATATATAGATATATAATGTATATTTATATATATCTCCCCAATACCGCCAAATCTCGCCCTCGCTCGGAGCCGTCCGTCCAGCCAAAGAAGTCAATGATATCGTCACTCAGCTCATCTGCTTCCACCACGCTCAACCCAGACGTAGCCGACGGTTTCTGGTCTTCTGCGCTTGCGGCCATGATCAGCTCCTCTCTCGTCTTTTTCGTAGCTTCTCGCGTTGGCGTCCCCCAAAACTTGCCTTAATTCTTTGGCGTTTTGAAGTGGGCTTTTTATAGGGAGGGGAACGGGTTTGCATTGGATTCTTTTCCTTGTGCTGATTCTTTGCTAGGCGCATCGATCTTGTGTCTCCGAGATATCTTTTAGTTGATTCGTCCGATTTCTTGAAACTGGTTTGGTGAACTAGACATTGCGTGGCGTGTGAGAACTTGGTCGGAGCCAAAGGCGAGATCTTTCAGAGAGGGTTATGGCGGCTAGCAATTGATTTTTTTTTCTTTATTGGGTCTTCCGAGGTGGACTTTATCCAATCTGCGGAGGCAAGATTGGAGCTCGAAATGACATCTTTCTTTAGGGATATGTCTTATTTGGTTCTGATTCTGTTGATTCTAGCACGATTCTCGCGGGGATTGGTTTCAGTTTCAATTTCGCTTCCGACCGTTTTGGAGGTATGTGGATATGATCAGGTTGGCTATTTGGGATCGTCGGATGAGTACCAACTCTCAATTAATGGGCGGTGGATCGAAGATCCTTTTTGGATCTGTGAGGCACTTGAATCCTACTTCAAGAATGGTTGCTTCGCCTGTGGTTCCAGTGTGGAATCATGGCGAATGATAGGAGAGAAGCACTGCAATCAAGACTTCACTGCATTAATTCATGTCGACTGCAATACTTCCCCTGGTAATTTATTGTCAAATGGATCATTTTGTATCAGTATCTTATATTGTGTTCATGCTTACCTCTTCCTGCAGTACGTTGTAGAGGGAATGTGATTCTTCTGCAGCTGACTGTTTTGTTGCCCGATTGGATTATGCATGTATGGCCATGTACTATAACTATGCACCAACTTGTAATGGGCTTGAGGACATATCTAAGGGCACTTAATCCGGTTGGATTATTAGTGGACGAAAATGTTACCATTTCACGGAGTTAATCGTCTAGTTTTCTTTAGATTTTTGTGTTTTCACTAGTTTAAATGCTTGACAGAAAAAAATTCTTTAGAGCTTATAATGTAAATATTCATCCCTTCAAACTTTCCTTGTCTTATTTTGATTTATTTAGTCTTTCACTGAATCAGCATGCATAATGCTTTTTATGTTTTTATGGTCTGTTGCAGCGGACTCATTCAAACTAGGAGGGAGGAAAACCTTGTTACAGTTATCAGAAAATGTGTCTACCCTTATCCAAGCAGGCAAAAAGGGTCTGTCAGAAGAAGAAAAGCAAGAGTATACATTTTCTTCAGAACCACAAAATATCCCTTTTGCTGTTCCAGGAATGCTCCTCCTATGTTGTGGTGTCCTCTGCCCTTGCTTTCACGCTAAAAGAAAGGAAGAAAGTGAACATAGTGTTCTAGATAGGCAGCAGAATTCAAGTGAGTGAAGTATAAAAACTTTTTTTCTGATTTATCTACTTTATGTTGTTTTGAGTTTAGCAACCTTAACACTTAATGTTACTTGCAGGTGCATTGAATATATACTTGATTTATGGTCTTTTTCCTTCATATATGGTTAATCCTCAATATAACTATATATAAGTAGGCACGTGATGACACCAAAATTTTTTAGAAGCTCTTTTTGCTAGCTCAGATTATTATCTGTTGAAAAGCATATGTATTACTTTAAGAGGCATGGAAGTTACTATATGTCTAAAAGCAAGATATTATGCATATAAACATCCATTCTGTTGAGTGAGGTGTGGCTGCGAGACATGAAGAAGTGATATAGGGAATTTAACATCTTCCCTTGATATTGTTATTTAAATCATATCTGGCATGAATGGCAGTTAACAAATGATTCTCAATATCTGTGGGTTTGGTGGACCGGAAACGGTCCGGGAATTGCATCCACATTTCCATGTCATGAGGGATGCATTTTCACTATTTAGCTTATTTCTATTATGGACTAGAGTTTGTGTATCTAAAATCAACTTTGTATGGGATTTATTTTGTTATCTTATTCATCTATATTTTATACAACTTGTGGATTTGAGGTGATTATTAATGTAGATGCAAACTGGGGTTTTTATTGATTGGAAGTCATGCAGTGCAGTGGAGAGTTTACATGTTGAAGTTAGGAAGTCCTAGAAAGTAGTTTTTCTCAATGATGTTTCTAAATAGCTTTTCTGAACTTTTCCTTCTATGACCTGAACTTTAATGTGTTCTTCATCATCAATCAAAAACCTCATCTTCACCTTTGTGGTTTAAATCTCGCACAAGAGACTATGCTTATCATTTTATCATCTGCTAGATGTAAATAAGCTCATTGCTTCATATACCAATGCCTCAAATGTTCCAGATTGAGCTTTCTCCTAACTTCTATCCCCTAATGTAGGATGTGAGTAGTGCTTCATGCTTGAAATAACTTCTTTGTCAATTATAATCATAATATATTCTAATCTTAAAAAATAATCAATTTATTATCTAATGTTTTGCTAAATCACATCATTGGTGATTCCTTAATCTTATGATGATGATATTAATCACCTTACTTGATGATTCCCTAAGTTTATAATTTGGTTAGCTGGATGACACAGTCATTTTATGTTGAGAATGAACATATCATGTGATTATGGTAAGGTAATTCTTCTCTTACATATCAGCAAATTATTTGGTTTTTTTTACATGGAAACCTTTTGGTTCTCTTTGATGGACAAACATATCGAAGGGAGAGAATCAACAATTAAATTGGCACCTATTATGCAAGCCAATAATGAATATCCTTACGAAATATCTTGATAACCCTATTGTTACATGGTGTTATATCAGATTGGTTGATACTGTGGAGAGTATATTAACATAAATGCAACGATCTTAATTGTAGATATAACCATTAATTTGTAGACATAAGGCAGCATGTTTGTATTTGTGTCCTTATTATATTTCTTTACATGTTACAGTGGATATAACCTCATCTATAGAGCTAAGCACAGCCTCTGAAAAGATCCCTGCAACTCCAAGAGTGCCTCCTAGCCCGTCTCGATTTTCATTGTCTCCTCAATTGTGCAGAATTGGATCAGTACATCTCAGTATCGATCAGATAATGAGAGCTACTCAAAATTTTTCACCTTCACTGAAAATAGGTGAAGGAGGTTTTGGAACTGTATACAAGGCTTCATTGCCAGATGGTCAAGTTGTCTCAATTAAGCGAGCAAAGAAGGTAATATTATATATATATATATATATATATATATATATATATGTGTGTGTGTGTGTGTGTGTGTGTGTGTGTGTGTGTGTGTGTGTTGTTTGCTTTTGTCGGTAATATGAAGCTTAGCATCACACATATGCAT